CCCCCATCTTGTTTGCCCTCAGTGGGGAAGCACAGTGGCCTTCTTTGAGGAAAAGGTTAATGTCAAAACTTAACTGAAGGCAGAAGGTCTCTTCCCACCTTGCACACCACCCCCCACCTGGCCTTCCCAGCCCTGCAACCCCCCAGTCCCACTGTTTTGGTTGAAGACTCCCTTTTCTCATTTTCATAGCGAGATTCCTTCCCTTGCTTTCCTTCTACACTGACATGGAGACAGGGTTGTTCGGCCGCCACTTTAGGCTAAGGTTGCTCCCTTGAGCTTGAGGGGCTTGTCTGTGCTGGTTCAGGGTAACCTAAGGGCCCCGGGTCTGAGGATGCCGTAGGGGAGAAGTCCTAGGGCTTCATGCACTCTAACCCAAGCAAGGGCCACCGGGCGCCAGAGGGGCAGGACTGGAGAGTGAGCCAGGGAAGTGTCCCACCTCAGGCCCATCCCCTGTGCTCCTGGTTTGGGGCTCATTCCTATGTGGGTATCCATGAGGGGAAGACGTGGTTGTGGATTCTACTCTCACAAATGAGAGTAGAGATGGAGCTGTAGTTCCATATCAGACTTCTTGTCCTCAGAATTACTGGAAGCTTCTACTTTCTCAGAAGTATGAGAGCCTTTCAGAGGATACTCGAGGGCATTTCTGTGCCAAACTAGAATGGTGATCTCTTGTCTCTCCGAGTAGAAGAAATGTGATGACAGGCTACTACTTCCCTTCTAGCCTGGGAAATCCTCCATCTCAACCCCCACCCCCACCCCCATCCATTTCAGGAAATTGGTATCCTGGTTTCAGGAGACTGGGCTCTCTGTTAGGACAAAGCATTTTCACTCATTCTTAAAGAGCCTCCTCCTGTCCTTGTTGCCCAGACCTTGTCAGCCATTGAGCTCACTTTGCCCTGGGTCAGAGGAGACCAAAAAAGTGCTACAAGCATTCTAGGATGACCTTTGCTGCCCTGACTCTGGAACAGGTAGGGACAGAGCCTGTCTCTAGAAGCTTCTCTAGAAAGAGGTGTCACCAAGTATATCAAGAAGGAAGAGCGCCTGTGTGGTTTTTTTTTTTAGGCGTGAACTAGGCTGTTTGCTGAGTTTACCCCAAACAGGGGGTGCGACCTGGACTCTAGCAGGTTCGCTAATAGTGGAATCAGGGGTTCTAGAATGTATTGCTTCAGCAGCCTTTGTTTTCTTTCCGGGGGCTCATTTCTTGGGCATCTTCACCCTCGGAATACTGAAATACAGGCTGAGAAAAACGGTCTGTCCTGGCTACCTGCCTGTAAGAAGGAAAGCAACCCGTGTCTCTGAGGAACTAGAGGATTAAGAGAGGGATAGGGAGCTGGGGCCCATCAGCAAACTTAGCTGAACAAGGGCCATGAACCCTCCATGGGCCTCAAATGCCAGAGTCCCTCCTGTTTGGAATATGGCCAGAGGACAGGGCTCTCTGATAATGTCCTCATTTAGGTCCCCTAGGGAGGGAAGATGTGAAGATGAGGCTCCGTTTCCTCACAGCCTCAAGCTAGGGCTCAGCTGCCTCAGAAAGGACACCGCCTCTCGCCGATTCAGGCTTTTACCTGGAGACCCTGGCCTGAGGTGCTCATGGGACAGGTGCCAGAGCTGTGGTGATCCCCACACCCTGACCGAACCCAGTCCTCTCAGGTCCCCAGACTGCTGCAGGACTGGCTGCACCTGCTCATCAGCCTGCCCCTGGCGCCTTCGCTCCCCCAGCTCGGCTGGCTTGGCCACGCCGCCTGGGCCCTGCTGTGCGTGGGCGGCCAGCGGTTCCCGCGCCCTGTGCTGGGGCATGCTCGCTGCTGACGGGCCCCTGTGGCTTTGCGGCAGCTCTGTGCACTGAGAGATTGTATCCCCTCAGTTGGCAGGCAGAGCTCCGCCCCCGCCTCGCCTGCCGCGAGCGCCGCCGGCCTGGCCGGGCAAGGTACGTGGCATGAGTCCCCCGACCGCCTGCCTCGGCTCCCTGCCACCCCACCAGGAGGGCCAGCATGCCAGGCCCACTCACCAGGGAGGCGAGTCCCATGCTTGCGGGCTGAGATGGGCATGCCGGACGGACCACCTAACTTGGCATCTGCGAGCGCATTGGTGTCACAAAGCCCCCTAACCAGCCATGCATGCTGGGCGCTTGCCAACTCTCAGGAGGCAATAGCCTGGGGACGTGGAGCTGGGCAGCAGGAGGCTTTCCTCCAGACGGCCGAGAGCCTGGCCTGCCTGAGGGCTGCGGCTGGCGGCAGCCCCCCCAAGAGACAGTCCTGGGCGTGGCCGGAGCTGCCCAGTGCTAGGACTAGGCTTCGTCAGCACTGCTGGGAGACCCCACAGAGGAAGCCACCATCCCCCTCAAAATTGTGAAGTCTGGCATTTGCAGGCCTCCAAGTCTGAAAGGCCCTAGAGTGTAGAAGCTGTGGGGAGAGCCGTCCCTGGGTTTGGATCCTAGCCCTGCCACACCCCGAGCGAGTCTCGTCAGCCTTCCCAGCCTCAGTTTCCTCCTTTCTCCGGTGGCGCTAATTTTTAAATAATATGGCGATGATTAAGATCATGTACGTCGAAGGCTCTCAACCCTGCCTGTAGAGGACAGTCTTTCAGACATCCTGATGCCGACACCCCCACCCCAGACAAATAAAATCAGAATCCCTAGGGCATGGGATAGGCATAATGATTTTTGTTGAGCTCTCCAAAAGTGATTCTAAAGGGCAGCCAGAGTTCAGAACTCTGATGTATATAAAGCACTTAACATAGCAGGTGGTCAGGCATCGTAGTAAACACATTAAATAAGTTTCAGATCCCCCCAGCATGTAAAAAAAAATAAGTTTCACATCACCCCAGCATGACTGGAGATAGGCTCATAGGCCATTTTGGGAGGTCAGAATTCTTGTGAGGGAGGGATCCCTATTCTCACTGGAGAGAGATGGGACCCGGCTTGGGTAGGAATGGCCCCTGAAGGGAAGAATGGCAGCAGTAATAGTGACAATGGTTTCCACTTAGTGAGTACTTGCTATGTGCCAAGCACTCCACCTAGTGCTTTTCATGCATGGTCCCCTTAGGTCCCCACGCCTGTCCTGTGACCTAGGCCCTATTTTATCCCATTTTATAAAGAAACTGAGGTTCAGAGAGATAAAGTAACTCACTCAGTGTCATACAGGTACCAACTGGTAGATCCAGTGAAGTCCAGGTGGATCAGACAGTTGGGCTAACTCCATCCCCCTGTGGCTCCCAGACTCTCCCATCCCACTGTGCTACGTTCCTGTGGCCTTGGTGACCAGCAGGTGTCACCAGCCTTCCTACACAAAGCTCGTCAGCCTTGAGCCTCATCCGTGCCTGGCTGGAATCCGTTTACTACCTCGCTATTCTGCCCAGTCCTTCCTGCTCAGTGGTTCCAGAGAGTAGACTGAGGAAAGAGGGGCAGATAGGACCCCATAAGCCTGGTGAGGACCTGCCCAGTCAAGGCTTCAACCCCCCTGGCAAAACCCTCCTGTAGGTGGTCCTGGTCTCTGTGTCTGTGTCTGTCTGTCCTCACGTCTGAGGTCTCCTTCGTGAACTGTGACACTCTTGTTTCTTAAGAGCTCTCAGGAGATGTCTTGCATCCTTCCAGCTTGGCCGTTCTGAGGAACTCCATGGCATCTAGGGACGGAGCCCTCACCTTTCACCCTGGCACTCTGCTTCCAGACCTGGGTGGAAGCTGTTGAAGGCAGAGTTCCCAGTACCCCAGGCAGCTCCTGTACTGAATGTGGTTTCTCCTCCCATGTGCAGCGTGTCCCTGTTTCCGCTGAGCCCTCTTCCGTGGCAGGAGAGATCCTGGGGCGCCACCCTGAGGGTCTGACGCAGCTTGAGAAGCCCTTCTTGCTTTGGGGCTCCCAGGAAGGGCCTCTTCCAGGGGCTTCAGGAGACTCCTGGCCCCCTTGTCAGACACAACAGACTCTTGCGGATCCGGCTGCCAGACTTAGGCTAGGGAGAGGGGACAGTGCAAGAGGCTTGATTTTCCTTTTTGTTTTCACAGCTGCCAAAAGCCTACTGAACAAGAAGTCGGACGGCGGTGTCAAGGTAGGTGTCTCCGCCCCTCTAGCCCAAGAGGGGTTCTTGGCTTTGTTCCTCCTTTCCCCAGGAACCTTCCTATCCTTGCTTTTCTGCTTTAAAACCAGAAACCTTTGTGCTCAGAACAGCAGGTTCCATTGGCCTGGGAGGGCAGAAGAAAAATGTGTTTCTTTTGACTCTAGCTGGAACATAAAGACTCAGGGAAAGTGATCTAAATTATGGTTTCCTAGAGCTCAGTCCTGAACCTGACTGCAGACACATGCCTCATCTCCACGGCTTGACTCTCAGGGTTTTTGAGGTCATTTGGGTAATCTTCTTTTTTCCTTTTTCTTTTTGGAGCACAAACCCTTTTTATCAAATGAAAGCAAAGTTGGCCTGGTTGACCCAGGGTACAGGGCTTGGAACCTGAAGCCCCTGTCCTTTTAGTTTTTTGTCTTATCTCCAAAGCACTTCCAGAACCCAGCTCAAATGCCACTAAGTGAAAAGTGTCTTCAACTTTCTAGAGTTATAGGCTCCTCAGAAATAGGCGAGGGATGTGGTATATCACAGATCGCTCCCATTTGATGAGGGAGCTTTTCCCGTGGGATCACAGCAAGAGGAGAGAACAGGGGCGCACAGGGACCAGCGGAAAGCCTTAGTGGGAGTGGCTGCTTGGTGAAGGGGAAGGAGAGGTGGCTAGGGGTCCTCCTCACAGGGCCCAGAGTGTTCTGTAAATGCTTTGGGGGCAGAACGGGTCCTGGGGCTGGGGCATCGGATAGGCGTTCATACTGTCTTGAAGCCTACCAATTGACACCATAGGGTATTTCAAACGATGAAATTATCCAAGCCTTTACATCCCAACCAAAGTTGAAATTGGGCCTTTCCCCAGGATCTTTTGTCCCCAGCTGAGATATACACGTGTGCCCCATTCCCCTCCCCGCTCCCCTTCCTCTTTCCCTCATTCTCTGCATGCCTGCTTCTGTGTGCTTCTGCACCAAGGAGGGGAGCTTGGGCTCCACACACACCAACTGACGTGGATCTGGGGGTGTGACCAGCAGCCCCCCAGTTATAGGGACATGAACTGGAATGGGGGAACCAAGTTAGGAAAAGGTGGCAGGCTTAGCTGGAGAGAGATTTTGCATATTTCTATCCAGGAAAGAAGCTAGAATCAGTTATTCTTTACAAAGTATTTAATAAGTACCTATCAGAGGCCCAGTGCTGCACTCAGTTCTAGGGGCCCACAAAAGGTAGAAGAGGTGATGTGGTTTTCATCTAGCTTTGAGAAGTTGCAAGGTTAATTGAAGAGGAAATTGGACACACCTGGAATCAGCTAAGCACTGAATGGTCTATGGTACTGGACCCTACATTACATGGTTCAGTCCAAGAAGCTACTGGGCAAAAACTTATTGGAGAAAGCTTAAAGGATGTAGGAAGATTGGAACCCAGTCAACGATTGCCTCTAGAGAATGGGATTGGAGGTGAGGACAGGGTGGAAAGACACACCTTTCATTTTTCACTTTGTACATGTGTTTTCTTTAAAATGAGAAGGTGTTCCTGTTATAACTTAAAAACAACAAAATATTTTTATGGATTCTATCCTATATATTGATGTTCTCTGCCCAACTGGAACACGGGGTTTGTGCTAGAAGGATGTCGAAACTACAGCTGGATTGGTCTGGTTGGGCAGTGGGATTGAGGTTTGTGTGTCAGACCACAGGAAATGTAGGCCACTGAGCAGGGAAGCTACGGGTGAGAGCAGTGTTTTTAAAAGATTTTGCTGAGTGTGTAAGGATGACTAGAAGAGGGTGGGAACTAGACACAGAGGTATCAGTTAATTTGTTATAATCTGGGCATAGGGTGAAGAAAAGGTGATTAGAAAGGACTACTATTGAAAATACTTCACCCCCAGAAGAACCCAGGCACCAACCAACGAGAATAGGCACTACCTACGGAGAATTGGTCCAGCTGTCACCAGGATTGTGAGGCTCTGATTAGCTGTTAGCTCTGTTTAGAGGTGTGTCCAAGGAAGTTCATACTGGATGTGTTAGAAAGGACCCATCAAAGATGATGTCAAAGTTCCTTGAATGTTGGAAGAATTGGTGGAATCTCTGATAGAAATGGGAGTAGTTGTGAAGGAATAGCCATTTTGATAGCAAGAGTTTTATTTGGACCCCACTGAGGTGGAGAGACAGGTGATCTGGGCGGAGAGGGCTTTTAAGGTGCTGGGAGTACCTGATGTGGCCCAGGGAAGAGGTCAGCACTACACATGGAGATGGGGACTCATGTGAGTGAATCCCATGCGTTCACTCACTCGGCCAGTTCCGTCCTTCAGGAGCTGGGAAGACAGCGATATAATCCACCCTTTAAGGTGTTCAGAGTTGGGGAGAATCAGGGAAACCAGCAGTCCTGGGTGCTCTGGGCAGGTCTGTCAAAGGAGGTGTGCTCAGGGCGGGCCCTGGGGGAGCAGAGACCAGCATCTAAGCCAAAACAGGAAATCTTCCTGAAGGAGATGACCCATGAACTGGGCTGAAGGATCTTGCTAGGTCGAAGTGAGCAGGACAGGGAGGGGGATATTCCAGGCAGAGGGAATAGCATAAGATATATAGATTTGAAACAGTGTGATGATTCTGGGAACTTCAGTAGCTCCGAAAGGCTGAAGGAAAGAATGATTGCACAAAACAGGACCTGAAATAAAGCAGTTTCAGCCAAGATGGTGGTAAAAAGATGGACAATGAAGCCATTGAAGGATAGGTTTCTAATGGAACTTTCTAGATGGCTGACCCCAGGGATGAGTGTCAGGCGCAACTATGTAATATTAGTGGAAGGAACTAATTAAAAAGATACCGCTTACAGGGTCCAGCCTGGAATTCAGATTCAGGAAGCCTTGGGTGGGAGGCAGAATCTGAATTTTAATAATATTCCCCTTCTCCCATATGAATCTAAAGCACATGAAGGTTTAAGAGTTCAGTAAAGACAAAATTTCAGGGCCATCTGTCATTGAGAGGCTGGAAGAAGAGGAATCATCAAAAGGCAGAAGAGGTGGGGGAAGAACAGAAGTGTGCAACAATGTCGGACCTTACAGAGCACTGAGAAGGATGAGGGCATGGCAAGCAGATGGTTAAATAAATTGCTTCTAATGAGAACATACGTGGGGAAGCTAGTGTCCGACCCTGCTATGCGCCCAGCGAGTTCTGTGCATGAGAAAAGACTTTGAATATAGTGGTGGGAACAAAGGCAAAGATGCAAATGTTTAAGAAGGGAATGACCAACCAAAATTGAAAGGCCAGCAACAAGTTGAGGAAAATATTCACAGCAGGTGTGATATCAAGGGTTAATATTATTTTTATACAAAAAAGCCTCCATAGGGGCACCTGGGTGGCTCAGTCGTTAAGCGTCTGCCTTCGGCTCGGGTCATGATCCCAGGGTCCTGGGATCGAGCCCCGCATTGGGCT